ATATTTCTGTATTGTTTACTTTATGGTCTGCGGTTAGAGCTCAAACGCAGTCGGACCACATATACATTAATGTGTTTGTGTTCCAATAAAGCCTCATTGACAAGACTAGCAATAGTCCCCTAGCCTAGTTTGCCAACCTCAGGGCTATAGAGGGACTTAGGATCATCCCAGATAAAATAATGCAAGCATTTTGAAAGGGCATGATGTTTACAAGGTGGTTTGTCATAAGCAGTTTGGCTTTTCTAGTTAAGAGTGTTTCTGGAAGAAAAAAAAGTTTCTGTTTCTGGTATTTTAACGTTTGCCCTTGTCATGTAGGCTATGTGCTAAGGAACACCTGTTAGTATTTGTTTCAACACAGAATGATACTTTCGTGTAGTCTGATTTGGTTTGGTATGCCTTCGGCTCTTCATTGTGAGCAGGAGAAATAACTTCCTCTGTGTTAGAGAGAAAATCCTGTTATTCCCCATCTCAGAAGTCCCTAGTGGTCATTGTGCCATTCCTTTACTAAATCCTGACTGACCCCACTCCCCTACCCCTGCAATGTCCCATCACTTGCTCGCCTTTCCGTGCTGGGCTCTGAGAAGAGGGCTTTGTCACGGAAGGAAGAGCTCCAGCTTTGGGGTCAGGAATGCACTCCAGTACTGTGTCTCTTAACCTCAGGGCTTCAGGCAACCACTACCCTTTTCTTTTGTAAACAGATACAGAAATCCTTTTTCTACTTCTAAAATAAAGATCTTACTCATGAAAATGTTTTTGTAAACTTAAAATTGCTCTTTGGGCGCAAGATTATTTTTTGTGTTTTTCATCCTGCTTCTGCAGATCTTTTTGCTGTACCGTGTGGGTTCTCTATTTGAATTTTCTGTGTGCGTCGTGTCCTTTCCCAGAGTGGCTCTAGAAAACTCTCTTCTCTGAAATACTGTGTCTACACCAATGGCTCAGAACACTCCTGAGGAAGAATACTCGAGGGAAGGCCAACCCTTTAGCCAGGGGCAGCACTTTTCTCACACAATGTGTGTAGGATTTGGAGAGGCATCTCTGTGGTTATTAATGCATCTTACAAACTTGACAGTCTAGGAAAGAGGAACAGAATTTTAGTTCCAGAGACCTGAATTCCAGTCAATGAGAAGAAGCTGCAATGGGTAAAGTTTTCATTCACTCTTAAAATAAGCTTCTGGTTTTGACATGGGAAAACCTGACTTGGGCTGCTTTTTCAGGTAGTGAACTCTCCCTCACACTGAACATATTCAAGAAAAGACCGAGTCACTACATGTCATTCATGCAGTAGAGGAGATCCCTGCTTTGAGGGGCTTCTGCTCTGAGTCTGTGCTTCCGAGAGCGTTTGTCACACATACATAGACCAGTTAGGATTTATTCCGTTTCTCTTACCTACCAGGTTTTCAAATTTCACTGTGTTCTACTGTCTGGTAACTTGTAATTCTCTCTGTGGCATTGAGGAGTCTGCCTAGCAATGTTATTGTATGATTTCGGGTGGGGTGGGGTGACAACCCTGTCCCCATCTATATTGAGCTCTGGTGAGTGTATTAGCTAGTTTCCACCTCTGATATTCCTGGGATAGGCTATCCTGTTAGATTATGTACTTTCTGGGTTTTTGCAGTTAATTTTTTGGGCACCATTTTAAACAAAAATTTCCTGCCACTTTGCTAGAATTATTTTCCTTTCGTAGGTGGAAAAGAAAAATCCGAATCTCCTTATTTTCAAGGAACACACAGTGCTTTTGTATTTATAAAAAATAAACTGGATTCTCAGAACTCAGCACAGTGAGCCTAAGCAGTGCTCTCTCTCTGTTAATGAGTTCTGAGGGCGGCGCT